ATTCTTTTTGGGGTCACAGTGCTTATCAAATGCTTGCAGTATGTCTGTCAGTGCCATGCTGTCTGTGAGCAGGTCTCGGCTAGTTCTCTGCCTTTTTCCCCAGTCAAGTAATAAAACAGCTTTACTTCCCTCTGCTCATCTCTGGGTGCCACTGTCAGGTCCACATACAGAGTAAAACTCTTCCTTCCAGTGTCTCCATGTCTGTGAGAGATTGGAAGAAGTGACATCCAGTCTCTGAGGGGGTTTCAGGCCACTCTCCATAGTGCAGTCTGATAGGGACTCTGTACTTACAGTTGCTGATTCTCTGTACAGTTCTAGTGTCACACAATCTGTATTTGTAGACAGATTTGCTATTCAGAGGTCCAGTGCCCAGCTGCCACCATGTTCTATTAGTCAATCCTGCTCAGATGCTCACACACTGTAGTTAGTAGCAAACATTTTATGAGGTGCTCATAGCTGCCCATTAAACATGTGTCTGCTTTCAGAACTACAACCAAAGAGACGCAATAACACAGTTGTACCAGTATCTAAGTAGTGAGACCCCTAGAGGCCATACACAGCATATAACATATTGCTACAGGTATAACACATATTGCTTAGCTTCTTGGCTATCTGCTTCTCTCAACCCCTCAGCCTTGTTAGAATGCCTCTCCTTCAGACTAGAATAGACAATTGCGTAGTGTCTAGGTCACACACACTGCTCCCTTGCAGCACCACTGTTCCAAAGCACACCACAGTGACCCACACTGTGTTTTGTCAGATGTCCAGCTGGACAAGGCACCTGTCTGCCATGCTGGACAGACCTAGACAGGCACACACAATGCCCTTGCAGCAGCTTGTCTCCTGAGCAGGGAGCCTCCTGCCCCCGAGTGGAGCTCTCCTGACCTCCCTCTTATGCTGAGACCTTATAGCTGACCTCAGTGAACTATAGCAAACCTCAATTAACTCTTTAATTGGGCAACTATGTGGCAAATGAGGTTTAATGTTGATAAATGTAAGGTTATGCACTTGGAGCTAAGAATATGCATGCATCATACATACTAGGGTGGGGGTACAACTGGGGGAATCAATGGTGGAGAAGAATCTGGGAGTTCTGGTAGATCACAAGCTTAATAATGACATGCCAAACTGCAGTTTCTAAAGCGAGCAAAATTCTCTCTTGTATTAAACGAGGTATAGACTCCAAAGAGAGAGATATCATTTTACCCCTGTACAAATCATTAGTAATACCTCATCTAGAATATGCAGTTCAATTTTAGGCACCAATTCACAAAAAGAACATTGGGGAATTGGAGAAAGTACAGAGAAGGGCAACCAAACTGATAAGAGGCATGGGGGAACTCAACTATGAGGAAAGATTAGAGGAACTGAATTTATTCTCTCTTGAGAAGAGGAGATTAAGGGGGATGGATCAACATGTATAAATACATTAGTGGTTCATATAGTGAACTCAGTGTAGAGTTATTCACCCTGAGGTCATCACAGAGCACAAGGGGGCACTTTTTATGTCTGGAGGAAAAGAAATTTAATCTCCAAACACGGAAAGGTTTCTTCACAGTAAGAGCTGTGAAAATATGGAATAGACTCCCTCAAGAGTTAGTTCTGGCCAGCTCAGTGGATTGCTTTAAAAAAGGCCTGGATTCTTTCTTGGATACTCAGAATATAACTGGTTACTAACAGTTATAGGTAAAGTTGCTCCAGGGAATATCTGATTGCCTCTTGAGGGATCAGGAAGGAATTTTTTCCCCCTGCAGGAGCAAATTGAATCATGCTTTGCTGTGTTTTTTGCCTTCCTCTGGATCAACTGTAGGTGTAGGGATTATAACTTTTTTTTATGGTTGAACTGGATGGACATTTGTCTTTTTTTCAGCCAGACTAACTATGTAACCTTTTGTCTCCTGGATAGAGCACACACCTGCACATGTACCCTGCTGGTCTTCAGCAAGACCTGGACACTGGGTTGTACATTGAGAATGCTTTAAAAACAGTTTTCTCTGCTCAAAACTGATATGCGGAACCTGGTGTTCCTTTTCCACACTTACTTTCTTATCAACAATATTTATTGGTTCTCACATATATATACAAACAGTAAATGAAAGAGGAACACAAGAGAAAGAGGGAGCACATCAATGGTGAAATCTGCATGGTTACAAAACATAATAATGTCACATAGCAACAGTGGGGAGGCCATTAGAACTGTACATTTGGAGAAAGGTGGTAAGAGGTGAAATTATCCCATGGGTGCCACACTGCCTCGAACACAGCAATTGAACAGGCATGTAGAGCGGTCAAGTATTCCATCTGTCTCACATCAGCAATAATTTTAAACAGAGTTGGCATCGAAGGAGGTATAGAGGATAGCCAACACATAGGATTCTAGCCGCAGTCAGAAAATGTGTGGTGAGTTTCCTGGCCATTTTGGGAAGACTTGGGAATGGCAGGCTCAATAAAAAGTATAGGGCTCAAAGGGGAGAGAGGTATGCAATAGCAATTGTAAAAAGAACAAAACCTCTTCTCAAAAAGGAACAATGGATCCACAGGTCCAAAAAATGTGGAAGAGGGAGCCAAAGTCTTTCCCGCAATGCCAGCAAGCGGAAGAAGCATTCGGGTTAAAGGCATGAATTACATCGGGAGTTTTGTACCAGAGCATCATAATTTTGTATGTATTTTCCTTATAAACCACACAGACAGAAGATTTAGATGTGTTTTCCCAAATTTTCTTCCACTGCGTCAGATCAATGTCACATTGTAAAAACTGGGACCACTTGCACATGTAATGATGAGTGTCATTAGAGAGGGGGGAAGCATCCATTAGAAGTTTGTATGTATTAGAAATGATGCCCCTTTGAGCGTCTTTGCATCAAGGTCCCCATCAAAGGGGGAGTGGGTTTCCCAAGACTCAATGTAGGGGACATGGTAGAGAAAAAGTGGCGTATCTGGAGGTAGATATATAAATGTTGGAAAGGTAAATCTTTTTTCTGGAGGTATGAGAATGGTTGCAGCTTCCGAGTCACAGGATGTACTAAGTGGCGTAATTGGAAGAGAATGGCTGTGACCCAAGGTAGCACCCAGGGCATGGCCAGACTATCTGGAAGGTTGGTGTTAAAGAGGATATTAGTCAGTGGGGAGTAATCTGAGGTCAATGCAAACCTAGTCTTACATTTCTGCCAGATACTCATAGAGAAATGCATAGGGCCAAGGAAGGGATGACGGATAGAGGCAAGGTCCACCGTCGAGGATGACCAGAGGAGGGAACAAGGATGAGTCGGAGTCAATTGTAAGGACTCGATCTCAGTCCGCAGGTTGGGAGGGTAGTGGGTGGACCATGATGTAAGGAAGCAGAGGTGAGTAGCATAGTAATAGGTCACGATATCCGGTGCCCCTAGGCCTCCCATAGAACTCAGAGAAAGTAGTACACTACGTGTGATTCTTTTTTTTTTTTTTTTTTAATTTAAATATTTATTAATTTTTCATATTATTACAAATTTCACCAAGAAAGGTAAAACACAAAAAAGTATCCAAAGCATTTCTACATTTTCCCCCTAAAAAAAAAAAAAAAAAAAACTGTTTCCTCTTCCCTTCTTCCTCCCTCCCCTCCCACCCCTCTGCATGTTAAACCACTCTTTCCTCTTTAAATCCAGGAGACATTTTCTATTATCTTAACTTATACTTTCCTATATTTCTCTTTCAATTCAGATTTTTCCCATTTTTCCCATCTCATGTAGTAAATCCTCATCTGGTCTTCCTGCATATAGTAAAGTTTTTCCATCCTACCAATCTGGTTCACTCTATTAACCCAATCCTCCTCCCTCGGCATCTCTGTTTTCTGCCAAAACTTGGGTATCAAACCCTTAGCAGCGGTCAAATAGTACCATATACCTGTTTCCTTATATTTAATTACTGATAACTCGATATTATGTAAGAGGCATATCGTTGGGTCTAACCCTATGTCAATCCCAGTTATTATCTCAATCAGTTTAACTATTGATTTCCAGAAAGCCTGAATTTTCGGACACTCCCACCACATGTGAAAAACTGTGCCGATCTCTCCACACCCCCTCCAACACCACTTTGTGTTCTCACCACTGCTCAACACTCGGTGTAATGTGCCATCTTGTCAAACACTTATAATTTAATTCCACCTCTCTCATACTTATATTTTCATGAATCAGTCTAAACATCTTTTTCTGTTTATCCTCATCCCCACCCATATCCTTTTCCCATTTTGTTATAAAAATTAACTTTTGTGTTTGTGTCTTACTCAGTGAGTATTCTATATACTTTGGCAATACCGTGCTTCCCATCCCTTCGTGTCTCCAACAACCTCTCAAACAAGTTCCAATCCTTTTTTAATCTCAGTGGTTCGGGAGATTCCCAATGAAATGTTTCAATTGATGATATTTCCACTCATCTATCCTATTGAAGATCTCTCCCTTTTTCTCTTCTAAATCTTTAAGTGGTCTCAATTCCCCCTCTATCAAAACATCTCTCAATTGGACATCTTCCTTTTTGAACCATCTCCCTGTTATCTCTTCCCTGCCTGGTGGGAAATACCCCGTGTTTCTTAGTGGCATTAATAAAGAATTAATATCCCATTTCATATTTTTGTGCAAGTTATCCCATACCCTTAAAACATTTAAAGTGTAAAGACTTGTGCTATCTTTAATTCCTCTATATTGTGCTGGTACCCATATAATCTTACTCAAACTAGTTCCACTAAGTTCGTTTTCAACTTTCACCCAGTTTTTTCCTTTTAACTAGTTGCCGACCGCAGATAGCCGAATGACGGCTTCACTGTGGCCGGCTAGTTCTGGGTGGACATCATATGACGTCCCCCCAGAACGCGCTCTCCTGCGCGCCCCAGGGGGCGCGCACCCGGCGATCTCCGTGATAGCTGTGTCCTACGGACACAGCTGATCATGAGATGTGGTAAAAGGCCGATCATACCGGCCTTTTACCACGTGATCAGTGGTGTCCAATGACACGCTGATCACAGGGAAATGCAAGTGCCGGTTCTCGGCTGCACTTTCCTCACGCTGTCAGATCGTGAGGAAAGTACTGCCGAGAACCGGCAGTTATCAGAGCGAGGATCGGCACCGATCATCAGGGCCACTGATGATCAGTGCCCTGATGATCGGTGCCCAGCAGTGCCACCCACAAGTTCCGCCCACCTGTGCCCAGCAGTGCGCCCACTAGCTCCGCCCACCTGTGCCCAGCAGTGCACCCACCTGTGCCCAGCAGTGCACCCATCTGTGCCACTCTGCAGTGTCACACACCTGTGCCCAGAAGTGCCACCTACCTGTGCCCAGCAGTGCCACCCACCTGTGCCACCCACCTGTGTGCCCACCAGTGCCACCCACCTGTGCCCACCAGTGCCACCCACCTGTGCCCACCCACCAGTGCTGCCCACCAGTGCCACCCACCAGTGCAGCCCAGCAGTGCTGCCAGTCAGTGCCACCAGTCAGTGCCCAGCGGTTGTGCCAGTCAGTGCCACCAGTCAGTGCCCAGCAGTGATGCCAGTCAGTGCCATCTATCAGTACCCATCATCAGTGCCGCCTATCAGTGCTGCATATTAGCGCCGCCTATCCGTGACACCTCATTAGTGCTGCCTATCAGTGCCGCCTATCCGTGCCGCCTCATTAGTACTGCCTATCAGTGCCCTTTAGTGCTGCCTATCAGTGCCCATCAGTGCCACCTATCAGTGCCCATCAGTGCTGCCTCATCAATGCACATCAGTGAAGGAGAAAAAATACCTGTTTGAAAAATTTTATAATAGAAACAAAGAAACTTTTTTTTTTTTTTTTTTCAAATTTTTAATTTATAGCGCAAAAAGTAAAGCGCCCAGTGGCGATTAAATACCACCAAAAGAAAGCTCTATTTGTGAGAAAAAAATTATCAAAATTTCATATGGGTACAATGTTGCATGACCGCGCAATTGTCAATCAAAGTGCGGCAGCGCTGAAAGCTGAAAATTGGCCTGGTAAGGAAGGGGGTATAAGTGACTGGTAGGCAAGTGGTTAAGTTAAATGTCCAATCATAAATTCTTGCTAAGATTACTGCTTTATAATATCTCTTAACATCTGGCAGTCCAATCCTCCCTTCTCTTTATTCCTACTTAGTGTTTCGTATGATATTCTTGGTTTTTTATTCCTCCATATATATCTTGATAGCATTCTTTTTATTATCCTAAAAAACGCCTCTGGGAGTTTGATTGGGATCATTTGAAATCTATACAGTATTTTGGGTAGAATTACCATTTTTACTAGATTTATGCGTCCTATCCATGACAGGTTTCCTCTTTCTAAAGTTTTTAATTCTTCTCTAATCTTGTTTACCATTGAGATATAGTTTAATTTATACAGATATTTATATGAAGCAGTAAGTTTTTTATTCCCAAGTATTTTATATCTCTTTCTCTCCATATAAAGGGGAATTCCTTTTGTATTTTTTCTTTTTCGCCCTTTGGTATATTAATATTCAGAATCTCCGTTTTTGTTGGATTCATTTTTAAGTTCGATAGTTCTCCATATTCCTTCAGAATCTTCATTATATTTGGGAGTGTTATCTGGGGGTTCCTCACATATAACAATAAATCGTCCGCAAAGGCTGCTACCTTATGTTCTATGGATTCTATTTGGATTCCCTTTATATCTGCGCTTTTCCTTATCATAGCCAACAGGGGTTCCAATGACAAAACGTACAACAGTGGGGACAGTGGGCAGCCCTGTCTTTTACCATTTGACATCCTAATGGGTTCTGATTTCTCCCCATTTACCGTGATAATTGCGGTAGGCTCCCTATATAGTGTTCCTATCCACTCTTGCATTCTCTCTCCTATCCCCAGAACTTCCATGTTGGCCATCATAAAGCCCCAGTCGACTCTATCAAATGCCTTCTCGGCATCGATTGACAACACTACCACCGGATCTTTCCCTTTTCTACTTTTCTGGATAAGCATCAGAGTTCTCAATCCGTTATTTCTCCCCTCTCTTCCTGAAACGAAACCCACCTGATCCCCGTGTATCCATTCAGGCATTAAAGCTTTCAACCTGTTTGCCAGAACCTTTGCGTATAGCTTAGTGTCGGTGTTCAATAATGAGATTGGTCTATAGCTAGAGCACTGAGAAGCATCTTTTCCCTCCTTGTGAATAAGTACTACATGGGCCTGTAGAGATTCTCTCCTCACCTCCATGCCACCTCCCAGAGCGTTCATATATTTCTTTAGTTTAGGTAAAAGTAATTTACCATATTTTTTATAGTACTTCACTGTATACCCATCTGGCCCTGGGCTTTTCCCGGCCCCTGTACTCTTTAATGCTGCTTTTATTTCTTCCTGAGTAATTTCCACCTCCAAGGAGTTCAGTTGTGCTGCACTTAATTTCGGTAGTCCCGCATTTTTTAGATATGTCTTCCTTTTTTCGGTATTAACCTCTTCTGTATTTTTCGTAGAACTTAGGGGGCTAATGTTATAAAGTTTTCTATAATACTCCGTGAACACTTTAATGATCTCTTTAGTTGAGTGAACCAACTCCCCCTTGGGGCTTTTTATTTTATCTATGTAATTCCTGTTTTTCTTTTTACTCAGAGCTCTCATTAAATGTTTTCCTGGCCTATCTCCCCATCTATATCTCTCACTTAATACTTTATTGTATACTCTCCTCCTCTCCTCTTCCATCAGCGTCTCTAGCTCTCCTTTCTTATTTATTAACCTCTGCCTAATTTCTTTTGTTATTTTGTTCTTATGTATCTGATCCAAGTCTAATATTTCTTTTAGAAGCCCACTTATTTTCTCTCTCCTTTCTTTTTTCTTTTTTGCTCCAATCGCAATCAAGATTCCTCTTATATATGCCTTATGGCTCTCCCAAACTGTGGCTATCGACACCTCCTCTGTCTCATTTTCCTCAAAATATAACTTAATCTCTTCCCCAATCTTCTTAGCAGTATCCTCATCTAGCAAAAGAGCCTCATTTAACTTCCATCCTAGGCCTCCCGTCCACCGCTTTCCCCATCGCATTTTCATTACGACAGGAGTGTGGTCCGAGAGTGTCCTAGCCTCTATTTCTATTTTATCCAAGAATTCAATAAGTTGATGATCTATTAATATATAGTCCAGTCTTGAATACATCTCATGTGCATTTGAGAAGTAGGTATAGTCTCTGTCTTTCATATGCGTAATTCTCCAGGTGTCCACCAGCTGGTACTCGTGGATCACCTTCTTCAAAGCTCTCAGAGACCTACCCCCTTCCCTCTGCACATAAGAGGTTGTATCCTTTTGTGGGTCCATACAAAAATGTAAGTCTCCCGCTATTATCAAACGGCCTTTTTTAAAGTCCATCAATTTTTTCAACACACCCTTCAAAAAACATCTCCAGATTCTTATTGGGGCAGTATATATTAGCTAGAGTACACTCTATTCCTTGTAGTTTACCTTTTAAGAAGAAGAATCTTCCCTCCGGGTCAGTCTTTCTATCCTCTAGTTCAAATCTTATATTCTTTGCCAACCCTATTGCAACCCCTTTTGCTCTTTTAATTGGAGAGTTGGCATAATACCATACTGGATAATATTTAGATTTTAATTTCACGTTTGACTCTATCTCAAAATGTGTCTCCTGCAAGAATACCACTGAGGATGCTCTATGGTGTAACTCTTTAAATAATCTAAATCTTTTCCCCGGGCTATTCAATCCATTTACATTATACGTTATAAACTGTATTTCTTCCATCCTTCTTCTTAAATCTCTCTACCTCTCCTCCCCTTCTCTTCCTCCTCTGACCTTGCTTTCATACCTCCTTCTTTCATGCAGAGTATTGACCCTAAAACCTCTCCCCCCCCACCCTCCAACCCAGTCCCCATCCCCCCCCCTCCCTCCCACCTCCCATCTCCCTCCCCTCTTTCCCCCTACCCCTTTTTAGGCTTGTAAAGTGCCTACTAATCATTTGTGGGACCATTCCCACCTTTGATTTAAGACTTTGGGGTTGACCTCCACCCATGGACGGCTCACCTCTCCTCCATCCTCCCCAGTTTCCCTCTCTCTAACAATTTGACTCAGAAAATTCCCATTACCCCCACTAACCAAAAAAAAAAAAAAAAATCCGGAGGAGATACCATATTATCAGAAGGGGGGTGAATTGGAAGAGAGAGAGAGAGGAGAAAAAAAAAAAAAAATCAAAGTCCCTATTTCTCCCCTCACTCTCTCCTCTCTGTCACAGAAGATTATAATACACAGAAGATTCCAGTATATAGAAAGCCCCAGCCGCTCTCACTCACCCTTCTCTTTCCTTGTCAGAGGCTCCGGTCATCGGGTAGAGGGCTTTTCTCAGTCCTAGGGGGATTCCTCCGGATCTCCTTGGGCTTTTCGATCACTTGGGGGTCATCCCCAGGCAACAGGCTGGGTCTCCTGAATTTCCTGGGTCCAGGGTCAGTCTGCACGCCGGGGAACGAGGCCAGGAGTAAACCGGCACTTCCCTCTCTCCTCGGGATGCCGGCCGGTCTCTCCTCCTCCCAGAGATCCTCCGCGGCTAGTCACGTGCTCCAGCCTACGTCTCCTCGTCTCCCAGCTGCCCAGGCTCCTGCCTCACTTCACGACCCGCTCACATCCCCTGCTCTCCAGCCTCTCCTCCTCGTCCCGCCAAACTCCGGTGAGTCTGCCCCTTCATCTATTTGCTCCAGAGGGTCCCTGGGGAGGACGGGAAGCGGAGCCTAGCAAAATGCTAGTGCCTCACGCTCTCCTCGGCCGCCATGTTTGGGCTCCTCCCCCCCCCCCCCCACTACGTGTGATTCTATGTCGCTTATTATGCCAAATGAAATGTAGAAGAGATTTCTGGAGGGAGTGTAGTTTGGACATAGGAACAGGAACGGGAAGAGTCGCAAATGAACACAGAAGTTTGGGCAGAAGTCATTTTTATGACGTTGATGCGTCCCAGGAAGGATATGGGTAGGGTATCCCAGAATTTCAAGGAGCGAGAGATAGCTATAAATAGGGGGGGAAATTGGCGTCATATATAGAACTGTAGGAGGAAGTGAGGCTAGCACCCAAATATTTTCGTGAATGAATGCACCATCGATAAGGGAAGGATTCTTGGAGGGACGAGAGGACAGCTGGTGGGATGTGAAGGAGTGCTTCAGTTTTGGAGGTATTAACCTTGTAACCCGAGAGGGTCCCGAACTGACGTAAAGTTTTATGTAATACTGGAAGAGAGATTTGGGGGTTCGAGAGTGTAAGGAGGATGTAATCCACAAATAAGTATAGTCTGTACTCACGGCCATGAGATGATAATATCCCTTGTATGTTGGAGTGAGACCGGATTTCAATAGCCAATGGTTCCAAGCAGAGGATAAACAATAGAGGGGAGAGTGGGCATCCCTGTCGCGTACCATTCGATATCTGGAAA